TGCTTCCTGATGTGCTTTGTACATTGAGGGTGTGGCCAGGGGCTGGGAGTCATCTCAGCTGCAGGAAGCCTCCTCCCTCCAGCAGATGGGGCTGACTCATGTACGTAGTGAGCTTTCTTCAAGGCCTTAGCCTCAGGTAGCACCTTTGAACTGTGCCAAAGCAGAAAGTCTTGGAACAGGCAGCTTTGGACAAGGTCTTTCTACTCTCTGGACCTCAAGTTTCTCTGTGAGGTGCCCTCCCCAAGCTGAGACTGCTTGCTGAGTCCCCTCCAAACAAGCCACAGGTGTATAGACCTGTGCTAGGGTGGCCCAGAATGGCAGTTCTGGGCAAGCCGTAGGTAGGGAGAGGGAGAGGATGTTGCTAGGGCAACCAGATGTTATCAACTATGAGAGCCTTGGTTCTGGCTGGGGAACTTGCAGCTGTGGCCTGGGCTACCAGCTGTGGTCTGCCGGCCAGGCTGATGTTCTCCAGCTTCAACTTAGTAGGAGCTCAGCCCTTTTGTTTTCTTGCTAGGGAGAAGATGAAGATGGCTGTCCTGTGGTGAAGGACTCTGATTTTATAGCCAGCCAGAGCTGGGGAAGTAATCTAGCTTCCCAAGCCTTACAGGTCCACCATCAGTTACTATGAAAGTACCTTCATGTACCTGCCTTAAAGGCTGCCCCAAGATCTGTGAGGGCAGAAGCAGTGTTTTGCCTCCCACCAGTACCTGGCACCGTGCCTGGCAAGGATTAATCACCCTGCAAGAGTCGGTCTGCTGCTCTTTTCTGTTAGTGTGGGACTGATAAGAAGGCTGGATGGGACTGGCCTAAGAGGGGGAGGATTGGGGCACAAGAAACTTCCAGTTTGTAGGGTAGGTGGAGTCTTTGACTCCTCCTTCATTGGGGAGGTCAGGTTTGCAGCTGGCCCAGGGGACAGAGTATGGCTTCTGGATTCAAGTTGTTCTGAGTGAAAAAGCTCCCATTTATGTAGTGGAGGCTACAGTAGCAGCTTCATAACATATGCCCCCTGCTGGTTTCCTCATCTGTAAAATGGAGACAACAGTGCCTGCTTAGGAGTGGTGTTTAGACTTCAGTGATATATACTATTCAGCTCACCAAACTGTGTTCCCCAGAGAGTGAGGGTTCAGCCCAGTGGTCTCAAAAAGGCCCATTCGCCACATGGGGCACACCAGTAATCCCAGCGCTCTGGAGGCTGAAGCAGGAGGGTTGTCATGAGTTTGAGGCCAACCTGGGCTACACAGAAAGACCCTGTCTCAAAAAGAAAAGAAAAGAAAAGAAAAGGGAAGAGGACTGTTTGAGGTGTGCAGCAACTGTGGAAGGACCTGCAGAGGGGTCTTGTAACTTTGGAGCTACTGTGACTTTCTACATCCTTGAGGACTCAGAGGTGCAATAAGGGAGAATACCTTGAGGTGAGTTTGGGTTCCTTTCTTCATAGTTTCAGCTTCTCTGCAGTTTCCAGGAGGATCTTTTGGCTGTAACCCTCACTGATCAACCTCCTGGAGCTCCCTGACTCTGCCAAGGGCTAGCACCCCACCCGATCTGGTTCCTGCCTTCCTCTGACCTCACCTCCTGCCATTCTGTCCTTTGCTGGGCATATTCAGACTCACTGGCCTCCTCTTTCTTCCTGGAAACCCACCACTCTGCCTAAACGCTTTCATATGTGTCCGCCTAGAGGTCTCTGCTCCCTGTCCTTGCCCTGGCTGGCTTCTTATTATTTGGGTCTCAATGTCAACATCCTTTTCTGCAGTACTGGAGATTGAACTCAAGGGCTTTGCACTGATCTACATCCTTAGCCTTTTATTTTTTAATTTTGAGACAGCTCTCACCACATCCCTATAAATTATCCAGGCTGAGCTAGAGCTGCCAATCCTCCTGCCTCTGCTTCTCAGATTGACTGGGTTAAAGGAATGTACCACCATGCCTGGGCCCAGTGCCACAGCTTCTCAGTCTTTATTACCTAAAGTTAATCTGCCTCATTCATATATTCATTTAGTGAACTCATAGCATGTGCCAGAGGTCAGTACAGAGCTGGGGCCAGGGCTTACCTGGATGCTCTGGGTATCTCCATGGTGCCAGGTACCCTCTAGTGCCAGACTGATTTGGATTCTGGGCGTATACCAGTGAACAGTAAAAAGTTCCTCTCCTTTAGCTGTAGTCTGTTATACTAGCTTAATGTTTGCCAGCCAAAAGAATGGATATGCCATCTTATAAAGACAAGTCATGACTTGCGTGTGATAGAGTTATAGCAGGATTTGAACCTGGACCTGATGTCCCTCCCAGTACCCCACCCTGCAATGTCCTGACCTTTACTGACTTTGCTGTTTCTTTGCTAATTATTCTATTACTCCTGCCTGGTGATCTAGCACATCATTAAGTCACAGAGCGGGGCCAGCAGCAAGAATCCCAAGCTGGGGGAACTGGAAGTCTGTGTTGAAATCCTGCCTGTGCTGTGTGACCTTGGAAAGTTCTCCATGTTTCTCTAGTCCTCTGATGTCATGTTGCCAAAGTAGAAAAAAAAAAAAAGTCCTTGGGGCGTGTGGGGCTGTGCACTCCTGAGGGGTTGTTACAAGCAACCACTTGATTCTGCTCCAGGCATGTTCTTGGCTTCCCAGTCCTTACTGTGTCCCTGCCCCTCTAGGGGTCTGGCCATCTCTACAGGTGGCCCTGGGCTCCTGCCTGAGCTAAGATCCTTCCCCAGGGAATTACTGTACCAGCCAGGAGGGCTTGGGGTGGGCACCATGCCAAGTCTAGCCTGGCCACCTGTCCGTCTACCATCTGGCAGCTGGGACCCTTCCCTTAGCTCTGGTTCCTGAGTGTTTAGACAAGGACTTGGGCGCAGTTAGTGATCCACCTCAAAAATTACGAATCACCCCCTCCGCCCCTCCCCATCATTATACCCTCTATAGAATACCCACAGTCTCAGGCCTCAGTTTCCCTCTTCTGCCCCTGTACCCCCGTGTGGGGGCGGGGTTGGCGAGTGGGCGGGCTAGTGGCGAAGGTGGGTGGAGAACCCAGAGCTGCCTGTCCCGCTCCTCGGCCGGCAGGTCGCGCTGCTCTGTGAGGTGGCGGCAGGCGCGCGGGCTGAGTGCTGGGCTGGGTAAAGGCGTTGTCCTGTGCTCGGGGAGCTGAGGCGGGGAGAAGGTCCCCAGTGGTGCCCGCAGCCATGGTGGTGTTCCTGGGCCGCCACCTCCCAGCGCTGCTAGAGCTGTTTAAGAAGAAGGGTGAGTGGGTGTGGCTGGGGGGAGGGGAGGGATCCCCGACAGCTTCCGCTGCTGGACCTTTGTGTGGAAGGGGCATCTGGGCTGGCGGGGAAGAGCGATGGCGTGGGGGAGGGGGCGAGCAAGGAGGCCGGCCTCTCCTGTCCTCGGCCTGCCTTTGTCCAGTCGCTTTGTTGCTGCCTTTGTGTGGCCGCTGCTTGGGAGGATGCCACCCAGGTGTCTCTGACCTTGAAGCCTGCGGCCCTCGACACAGATCGCCTCCCTGCAGTGGTACCCACACTTTACTGGATACAGCCCAGTAGTCCAGTTTAGAGAGAGAGGGGAGGTCCCTGTAGTCATCCCAGCAGATGGGAAGGGGTGGGATGGAGGAGAAGCGAGGAAAAGTAGTCCTGCTGGAAGTTGAAGAGCTCCATCAGAGGTGGGGTGCAGGGGGTTTGGGAGGGTTTCAGGCTTGGATTCAGACGGTAGGGGCCGAAGCTTTGTGGACTTTTGAACACCCTGGGTCCCCTTCGGGAGCTTAGTCCTGGCTGGGATTCCTATCTGATGGATGACCTTAGACATCCTTAACCCCTGTGAGCCCTCCTGCCCTCTGCTTGTAACAGCGGGATGGGAGAAGGCCTGAGACCCCCAAGGTACTTGCTAGCTTCAACCTGATTTAAGAGTGACTTTCCTGGGACAGGAGCTCTCTCCGTGGAAGAGTGGGCTGAGGAGGGAGGAATGACAGGCATCTGTCTGAACTGGAGACCCTGTTCCTGGGGCATGGCCCTGTAAAGGGCGTATTTTGTTCCTACCCCTGTAAGAGGTGCTGCCAAGGTCACGTGACTCTCCCAGTGCTTTTGCTTATGTTGTGGATTTCATTTGGGAGAGGGGAGCTGCAAAGTGCTGACATAGCCCCCCTCCCCAGGATTAGGTGACCAGCCCCTGTGTGGGCGGAGCCTGTAACAGGATCCTCTGTAATGGATCCCTGGCTTCTCTGTACCAGGGCCCAGGGCCTCCAGGAGAGGGCATACCTGGGACTATAACATCAAAGAGACTAAGCTTCCAGGCTAGGGATAGAGGGGCTTGGGTACCACCTCTCCCCCTTCCCATCCCTCCACAAAAGGGCAGCCATACGTATGGGTGAGTAGGGAGCCCCAGAGGTTATGCTCAGTGTGTCCTTCGCCCAGGGTTTTCTGCCAGCTGCCTCTCCTTCTTAGTTTCCTGCGGTATCTTCTCCCTGGATCTGTGCCAAGGCACTGTAGGAAAAGGATGTCTTGTTTTCATTTAAAGTGGGGCTTGGGTCTAGACACAAGAAATGTACTTGCAGTGGCTTGTGTGTGTATTAGGGGTGCCGTCATGAGGCCCTGAGTGACATGTGGCTACACAGTTGTGTGTATATTTACATACTGTGTGTACATATAGAATGGAATCTGTGGGTGTTGTGTGGGTGATGTGTGGAGGCTGGGTGTGGGTACATATGTGGGTTTATACTCATGTGCTGATTTGTGTCTCTGACGCCTGTGGGTGCTGTGTACATTGTGAGCCTGTGTGCGTTGTGTACAGTGCCTTGTGTGGGGCCCTTTGTGTGGTGTACTCAAATGTGTGTACCCTCTGGTGTAGTTTGGATATGTATTTGGGGTTGTGTGGATTGCATGTCTGGGCTGGGGAAAGTGGACATTGCATGTAGGCGCAGGGGCCATGTGCAGTGTGAGGGCTGCAGGTGCCTTTGTCATGGTGCCTGTGCATCTTAAGGGCCTACAGGCCTTTAGGCCTCACTTTTTCCTGTCTCCTCCATTTCACTAGGCTCTGCCAAAGCTGAAAGTGACAAACGCCAGAGTGCAGGACCGAGCCCAGGACCAGGGTTTGTTGTGGATGAGCACCAGGACAATGTCTTCTTCCCCAGTGGTCGACCACCTCACTTGGAAGAGCTGCACACACAGGCCCAGGAGGGGCTTCGCTCCCTGCAGCACCAAGGTAACCCTCCTTACCTCTCCTGCAGCTTGCGCTCTCTCCTCCAGCGCTGCCAAGCTGTAGGGGCTTGTCTCACACATTCTTCTGGTGTCTTCCAGAAAAACAGAAACTGAACAAGGGTAGCTGGGACCATGGAGATACCCAGAGCATCCAGGTAACTGCTGCCGCCCAGCTCTGTCGTGATCTTTGGCCAACATAGCTTTGTATGCTGCTGGGTCTCTTTGCTTCCTGCATCTTCTGGATTGAATGATCCTGAGGGCTCGCCCAGGCTTGCGCTAGCTGATGTCTGCTTGGTGCTGTGTGATGCTGGGGGAGTCTGTGAGTCAGAAATTCCAGCAGGGAGTCCTGAGGAACCAGCCTGCTCAGGCCAGGGCCTGACCTCCTTCTCCCCCCAAAACAGTCCTCCCGGACAGGACCAGATGAAGACAGCATATCCTTCTGTAGCCAGACTACATCCTACACGGCTGAGAGCTCCACAGCTGAGGATGCATTGTCCATCCGTTCGGAGATGATCCAGCGCAAAGGTGTCTGAGCTAAGATTCCCTGGTCAGGGGAGAGGGTGTAGACATCACCCTGCCCAGCCCTGGTGGCTTCCGTTTTTCTTCCTAACCCACTGTTTTCTAAGGCTGTGTGATATAGTGAATTTAGGAGACAGTATCCTTTGTCCTCTTGGATTTCATAAGGCACAGTCACTGTAAAGTAGGATAGTTAAGAGTTGGGAAGCCTATGTTTGAGACCTGATACGATACTGAGCAGCTGTGTGACCTGGGGCAAACTCTTAACCTCTCTGAGCTTCTGTTGAATGTCCTATAAAAATCTAAGGATAGTAAGAGGACTTACCTTTTTGGAATGAAGGCCAAGCTCTAGCATGCTGACATAATAGTATGTTTACTAAATAATAATAAGCATTCACTAAATGACAATACTCATTACTGCCTAGTAGCCTTCCAGAAAAGTTGCCTCTGAAGCTGTTATTAATATCCTATAAAAGTAGTGCTCTGTGGAACGTGCCGAGTCCTCCTGTTCTAACTGGTTTTCTTCTCTGTCCCCCACTGGCCCTCAGGCTCTACCTTTCGACCCCATGACTCATTTCCCAAATCATCTGGAAAGTCAGGGCGCCGGCGGCGTGAGCGGCGGAGCACAGTGCTGGGGCTGCCGCAGCACGTGCAGAAGGAGCTTGGTGAGTCCCGGATTAGGCAGGATGGCAGCGTGGGTGGGGAGCCCTGGTCAGCCTCTCTGCTGACTGCTTCCTTTTCCTTGTCCACTCTAGGCCTGAGAAATGAGCGTGAGGCACCAGGTACTTCTCGGCCTACTGGTTCACCGGATGCTGTCCGCATCCCCACGGTAGATGGCCACCCAGCTGGCCTGGCCTTAGGGACAGGGGTCCGGGTGTCCCTACAGGCCCTGGAAGCAGCGGTAGAGGCTGGTGGAGATACAGAGGCCATGCTGCAACGCCACATCGACCGTGTCTACCGGGATGATACACTTGTTGGCCGGTCCACTGGGGGCCGGCCCCCACCACTGACCCGGCCCATGTCTCTAGCTGTGCCAGGACTGACAGGAGGGGCTGGACCTCCAGAACCCCTAAGTCCAGCCATGTCCATCTCACCCCAGGCCACCTACTTGTCGAAGCTGATCCCGCACGCCGTGCTGCCACCTACAGTGGACGTGGTGGCCCTGGGCCGCCGCAGCCTACGCACACTGAGTCGCTGCAGCCTGGTCTCAGCCAGCCCAGCCTCCATCCGTTCTCTGGGCCGCTTCTCCTCAGCCTCCAGCCCCCGGCCCCGCAGCCGCCATCCTTCCTCCTCCAGCGACACCTGGAGCCACTCTCAATCCTCTGATACCATCGTGTCTGACGGTTCCACCCTCTCCTCTAAGGGGGGCTCTGAAGGCCAGCCAGAGGGCTCTGTGACTAATACTAGTGTGGCAGCCCCTCCTCAAGGGGGCAGTGGAAGGGGCTCCCCTAGTGGCGGTAGCACTGCCGAAGCCTCAGACACAGTCAGCATTCGCAGCAGCGGGCAGTTGTCTGGCCGGAGTGTGTCCCTGCGAAAGATGAAGCGCCCTCCACCGCCACCCCGCCGGACCTACTCTCTTCATCAGAGGGGTTCAGCAGCACCAGATGGGCCCTTAGGGTTGCCCCCCAAGCCTGAGCGGAAGCAGCAGTCACAGCTGCCCCGGCCACCCACTACAGGTGGGTCAGAAAAGGTGGGGACAGCACCCTGTCCCCCTAGCTCAACAAGTGGCTGGGTGTCTAGTTTGTCTCCCAGTGGTTCCCGGCGCCCGCCTCGCTCCCCAGAACGGACACTTTCACCCTCCAGTGGATACTCGAGCCAAAGTGGTACCCCAACCCTCCCTCCTAAGGGTCTGACGGGTACCCCTGCCTCTCCAGGCAAGGCCCAACCCCCTAAACCAGAGCGTGTCACATCCCTTCGATCTCCTGGAACCTCTGTGTCTTCTTCGCTTACATCTCTGTGTTCTTCGTCCTCTGATCCCACCCCCTTAGACCGCTCTGGTCCACATATGTCAACCTCCATAGGTGATAGGTTTGTCATACCTCCTCACCCCAAAGTGCCTGCTCCCTTTTCACCACCTCCCTCTAAGCCCAAGACCCCTAATCAAGCTGCCTCCACTCTAGTCACCTCTCCCGTGGTTCCTGGGCCCATCTCTACTCCTGTTTCCGGTCCTGAATCCCCTCTCACTCCCCAGACATCCCTGGCCCCGCCCCAGGAGTCTCCTGGAGTCTGCAAAGACCAGTCACCTCCACCATCCCCACCTCCATCTTATCACCCACCGCCACCCCCTAGTAAGAAGCCCGAGGTTGTTGAGGTGGCCCCTCCAGCCCCAGAGACTGCTGAGGAGTCCCTATTAGACCCCAACTGGCCCCCACCCCCGCCTCCTGCACCGGAGGAGCAGGACCTATCTATGGCGGACTTCCCTCCACCAGAGGAGGCCTTCTTCTCTGTGGCTGGCCCTGAGCCTGCAGGCCCTCCAGATCCCCCAGAGCCTGTCAGTTTGGCTTCTTCACCTTCAGCTGCTGTGTCTGCCCAGAGCCAGCCCCAGGGTGCCCCAGAGCCGCCTCCTGCTCCACCAGTTCCACCTCCAACTAGCTCTGTCCCTGAGCTTCTGGTTAAGCCCCCTCAGAAGAAGGAGAAGGAGCCAGTGGGCAGCAGCAAAAGCAGTGGGACGTCCAGAGAGGACACAGGCGCACCTCTGGTCACACCCTCACTGCTGCAGATGGTGTGGCTGCGCTCTGTGGGCACTCCCACAGGGGCTGTGACCCCAGCCTCCGGCCCATCAGCCCCCCAGAAGCCACTCCGACGGGCCCTATCGGGGCGGGCCAGTCCTGTGCCTGCTCCCTTATCAGGGCTCCATGCTGCCGTCCAACTTAAGGCCTCCAGCCTGGCTGCCGGTGGTGGCCTCAGAAGTGCCCAGCTGAATGGAGCACCTGAGGCACAGCCACTGTCTCCCCAGTCCCCTGCCTCCACGGCCAGCTTCATCTTTTCCAAGGGCACTAAGAAGCTGCACATCGAGTGGCCTGTGTCCCCTGAGGCCCAGGCTGATCTCCAGCGGAATCTGGTGGCTGAACTTCGGAGCATTTCAGAGCAGCGTCCACCTCAGGCCCTGAAGAAGCCACCTAAGGCTCCTCCACCTGTGGCCCGAAAGCCCTCAGTGGGAGTCCCCCCACCTGCATCTCCTAGTTTGTCTAGGTCTGAGTCCTTTACTGCTCCTCCCACCAACGGGCTCCCACAAACCGATGACAGGACTAAGGGGGAGCTGGCCGAGAATGGAGGTGTGCAGCTGGCGGGTCCAGAGGAGAAGATGATTCCCCCAGGCTCAGGTACAGTGGGCAGTGGCGGGCATGGGTCCCAGCAGAGATGGTAGGAGAATCCCACCACTGGAGATTTGCTCTTGGATCTTCTGGTCTTCTGATGCCTGGGACAGGCAAACTGTCCTTGATGAGGTAGTGAAAGGAATGCAGATTATAACTTAGGCATCAGACCTACTCAGTGTAAGCCATACTTACTATTTTATTTCCTCTTTTAGCTGTGCTATGAAGAATGGCCAGAGACACCTATGTTAGTGTCTTTTTTATTTTTTGGTACTGGGAATCAAACTCAGGACCTTGTGCTTGCCACGCAGGCACTTACGCCACTGAGCTATATCCCTGGCCCTGTTAGTGTCTTAAGTGTCCAGCTCAGAGCTGCTGTGAGTTGTCTGCAAAGGGGATTAGGCAAAAATTGGGTTAGGATGTACCTTGGGTTCTTAGTGCCATACCCAAACTGGAAGTCCCTTGCTAAAGGTCTTTGTCTCCCCTGCAGAGCGACAGAAAGAGCTGGTCTGACCACACTTGCTGGCACTGCTGACCCATCCCAGGAATACAATCTCAGGGACCTGAGCAGCCCCAAGGACCAGAGGACGTGGCAGACACAACCTAAGAGAGGACGCCTGCAGCCTTAACCTCACGGCCTTTGATATTTATGCAAGTCTGGTGTTGCCCGGTCCTCCAAACCATCCAGCTCTCATGCCTTTTCCTGGAAGGATTCACCCCCAGCAGCTGCTGCTTCAGCTTTGGCCTTAGCCTCATCTTGAAGAGGTAGCTGGTGGGAGTGGTGAATGCGCCCCCTGCTGGCCGTAAGGCCACAGAGGTGGGTGCAGAACACTTTTCTTTCTCTTTTTAAAAAAATGTCCAAATCATGCACATATTGTAGTCCAGAATCAAAGCACTTTCACAAAATGGCTACATGTCCATTCTCCAGGGTCTATGAAGCCACACTCCAAGGGCCTGTTTACATGGTGACAGCATCAATCTCTGGTAGCCAGTCCATAGCTGGGACCAGTCTGTCTCCTGTCCCCCTAATCCAGTTTGCTACTTCTTAGTTCTTGGAGGTGAACAAGACACATTCCCACAGGCTTCTCCAGGCTGAGAGCAGGAGTGGGACTGGAATCCAAAGCACAAGAGGTGCAGTGGAGCTAGCCTTCCTGTGCCTCAACTTACTATCAACCTCCTGCCTTCCCAGTTCTGCTAGGTGCTCCACGCAGGGAACAAGAAGTGGGAGATTGCTGGGACCCAGATGGGTGGGGGAAGAACCAGAGGGGAGGTCTGAGGCGCTCTCTGTCACCTGAATGTGAAGAACAGAGAGGCAAGTCATCTCGGCTGGTCCTTGGCATACCAGGCATCTGCCTGTTTCAATTTGATCTGGTGAGGGTGGATTGGCACAATTTCAGAGGCAGGAGCCTATGGGTTGTCCCTTTTAGCTTGGCAGGAGTACTGAGGTACAAGAAGAACTGGCAAGGGGAGGGATTGTTTGGGCAGGAGGCCCAGATCTGGCCCTTGGACTACTTTTTCTGACCTTTCTTTGCTTGATATCCTTTCTGCAGCTGCCTTTCAGCATGGGTGGTTCTACTGGGGAGCAGAGGCTGAATGGTGAGGGTGGGAAGCCAAAGGTGCATCTTACTCAACTCTTCCCTAGTCAGTGAGAGGGCACAGTGCTCCTAGCGAGGAGGCTAGATGGCTGTCCCCAGATGTCAGCCTATGCTACTGATCTCTCTTCTGGAAATTTTAATGACCTCTATTTTCAGCCTATACCACCTATTAGGTAAGCTGGCTTCCTAAGTGGCCCCCATTCCATAGGGGTAGTCATAGTACCTCCCTTTATTACACCTGGCTGCCACCCAGAGCCATCCCTTCTTATCCCCTTCTTTAACGGTGACATGGACTTGAGCCTGACAAGGAATCTTGTATTTAGCTTCTTTGTCATCAGGAGGGCGACACTGCTCCCAAGAGCTGGGTACATAGTGGGTTTGTGGCCTGCTCGAAGGGTTTTTAGTTCATCACCACCATCTTTTCCCTGTAGCTGTAAATCAAGTCTTTCCCTTGCCCTGTGGGTAATGGGGAGCTGCTGCTGGGTGTATGTTTCACCTGCCCAGTGAGTTGAAGAAGGACAATCAATAAGCACGGTTCTGCCTGGAGCTCTTCATTGACCCAGGACCCATCAAAGCCCAAGGAACCTGGCAATATCTTTGAGATGCTGAAGGCAGGAGGGAGCCTGACCTGTGTCTTTCCTTCCCTGCCCAGTGTTACTGGAACCCTTATCCTCAGTTAAATTTTCTGAGCTTATTTCCCCACTGGGTGGGCCAGAGTACAAAGGAGAAATCTAGCAGAGGCAACTTTCTTTGTCCTCTGGGGTAAATGAACTTGACCTAGTGCAAATGGAGAGACCAAAAGCCTCTGATTTTTAATTTGCATAAAAATGTTAGAAGAGAGAAGTATATATATATATATATATATATATATATATATTCTTTAAATTTTTGAGTCTTTGATATGTCTATACAAACAATCCATCTCCTTTGCCCTAACGCTTGAGTGAGACACATGAAAAAACTGTGTTTCATTTAAAGGTATTAATTAATTAATTAAATGATTGAAACTTGGCTGTGACTGATGCTTCTTTCACACACACCCCACCCCAACCAATGTCAGTGGGTTGTATGGCCTCAGTGGGTAATACAGGTAACTAGGTTTGAGGAAAGTAATCTCGCACAGTAGCCTGAAAATCCAGCCATCACAAAAGAGGCTTCTTAACAGAGGAGGAACAGGTGGTATATTCCTGGGAGGTAGTACATGCCTGGGAGGCTGAGGCAGGGAGATCACTGTTGAGTTTATGGCCAGCCTGGGCTGCAGAGTCAGCTCAAGACCAGCCTAAACCACACAGTGAGACCCTAAAAAGGAAGGGAAAATACTTTGCCTGGAGCAAGCATTGGGGCCAATACGGTGGGTCTCTGCTGCTTAGTGCCACCAAAGGGAAAGTCTAAGATCTGTTACCCATCTTGTCACCCTGCGCCCCACCTGGATACAGGCTAGGCTATGTGGACAGCTCAGCAGCTGCTTGTCACACTTTTCTCCTTGAGTTCAGCTCACAGATAGGCCCCATCCAGACACCATTATTCAGACATTTTATTTGAACCTGACAGTGATGGTGTTAGTGATTTAAGATGCCTTGTGAAGAGGTATCCGCCCTCTCTGAAGAAAAACAGGTGATGCCATCCATCCCATCCCTGGTACTAACAACACAGCTGGTTTAGGATCTCTGGGGCAGGCCCTTCCTCCCAGTACCACCGAGCCATAGGGCAGGCAGGCATGGGGCAAAGCTGCCAACCATTTGGTAAACCACTGGTTCTGTTTTTCCTCCTCTTTCCTTTCTTTTTTTTTTTTTTTTGTCTTTTTCCTTTTTATCGGTACCAGGGATCGAACTCACGGCTGCCTGCTTGCAAGGCAGGCGCTTATGCCGCTGAGCTAAATCCCCAGCCCCCTCCTCTTTCCTTTCAAATCCCACAATTTCCTCTTGGGAAGAAGCTGTAATTAGCCTAGCCCAAGCACTAGATCTCAGCTAGAGAAACAGCTGCTGGGATAAGCCCAAGAAAACCTGGGAACCATTGTTTTTCCAATTACAAGGATTGTGGCATAAACTTTTTCTATGAGTTATATTGAAACCAGAATTTTCTCATCAGTTACCAAAGGAAGAAGGTAGTGCTGGGTTCCTGCTGCTGCCTGGCCCTCACTGCCACTTGGGGGTCAGTCTCACTGCACCAGACAGGTTGATCCTGGACTCCGGGGAGGTGAGCTGCTCCTTAATGAGTTCTGCACCTTGAGTCCCAGACCTGCTGCTTCAGTGTCCTGGAGATAGGTGATGGGTGATGGATGAAGCACACTGAAGACTGCAGATAACTCAAGATGGTGGAGAAAGGAGGAAGATGCCAGCTGGCTAGCTAATGTTCCCTCCTTTCAGTGATTTACAGGAGATGCACCCCAGCTTGGTCATGAAGTTGGTTTGTTTCCACTGTGCAATGCACTCCTCAGAAATCTTGAAGTCCGCCTGGACAAGATAGGCCACACATACACAAGAAATAATTAGTGGTAGTGGCTGCTCTACAAGGAAACTCTTACACCTCTTATACTACTTGTAGTATAATGTGGTTCAGTTTTTCTAAGACTAGTTTCCCTGGATTTAATCCCTAGCACCTCAATCAAAATAAAACAAAGTACAAGCTTATGTACAAAAACTTCCATGTTTCCATGTTCATGACTCAAGTAAGTTAACTGTAGAATTTAGACTAAAAATAATCATGAGTGAGTACAAAGACCTCTATACTAACACATCTATCGTAAGCCCTGTCACTCTGGCAGTGTGAGGGAACTGAACCCAGGATCTTGCACATGCTAGGTAAGTGGTTCACCACTGCCCCCCACCCCCCATAACATTCTAATAGTGAAAAACAGAGAATGACCTCAGTGCCTAGGAAGGTTTTAGTTAAACTGTGATAACTATGATAGACTACAGTGTGATCTCCTTAGTGTTAAAGGGGGAAAGTTTGCAGGCATAAATGGAAATTTAGAAAGCAGAATAAACATTTAGTACAATCAAAATGTAAATGTATTTTTTCTATGCAGAACAAAAAGCCGAAGAGAAATAACCATATCTGTGGTAGCACTATGATTACTTTTTTTCTGTACCCCTTTACCCCCATATTTTAGACATTTTCTACATGAAAATATTCTATAACCAGAAAAAATAAGTGATTCAAAAAGCCTAGAAAATCAGAAAGAGGGAGTGGAGTGGGCAAAGCCACCTGCTAGGTGCAGGAGGGTGGAAAGGGAGCTACACTGGATCCCTTTAGATAGCTCTTTAAGCAAGCAAGGTACTGACTAGAAAGCCACTCGAGTGTTAGTTCCATGACGAGAGGCAAGTTTTGGTGGTCTATTCATTGATGTAACTCAAGAACTTAGAAGAATGCCTGACGGATACAGACTCAGTATTTGCTGAATGAATGAATGAAAGAATGAATTCATGGTTCACTTGGGGCAGGCTGTAGGTAAGTCAATGTCCAGATGGCAAGGAGAAAAGAGAGTTCGAAGCTTAAGGTAGTCAGGAGGGACCCTAAGAGGTTTTAGATCCTGGCTCTTTTGCTTCATTTTTCTTTTGGGGTGGAGATTAAAGCCAGGGCCAAGTCATGCCAGGCACTCTACCTTCAGCTATACCCCAGTCCCTGGCTCCATCACCTCTAGTGACTGTGTGAACTTGGCAGGCACCTTGACAAGTAAAATGGGGGATATCTCCACCATTTCTTGTCACGTTCTGAGGAACAAACAGGGAAGTGTCTAACATTCCTCACAGAGTGCCTCAAATAATCTGTAGTGCTCAGTACATGAGAGGTTCTTCCAAGACCCTCAAGCCTCTCAGATTTAGGAAGGTCCAGAAATACAAGGGGCTCAGATATAGAAAGTCCCAACGGAGAAAGAAGTGGCTGCAGGGTCAGTAACAAGGCAGAGTGAAGACAGACCAGGCAAGAGGAGAAAACAACTGCAGCATTTTACCTGCAACTTCTCAAAGACTTTCTTCTTGGGTTTGAGCTCGTCGTCTGGCTGGCCCTTCTCGTAGCCCTTCACAAACACCCGCTCACCAGGAGCAGAGCCCGTAGGAGGGTCCAGAGGTTCAACCCGGCGGCTTGGATTTTCTCTGGGAAGACACACAGACAGGGACAGGGTGAAGCTCTGGGTAGCTTCCAGAGGCTGTGGAAGCTGCAGGTCTCTACAAGGGGCCCTAATAGGATTTAGGACATCCTCAACACAATAGCTAGGAGGTCCTCATTGACTATGTCTCTGTACACTACCATGGTCAGATTAACCATGGCTAGGCGGCGAGACAGAGACCACCCTGTGTCCCTATGGGAGGAAGTTTGAAATACCCCAGAAGGACCTTATAGCCAATCACAACTGGGTTTGAATTGTGGTGCCAACCTTTTCTAGTAGCAAGACTTGGGTATGCTCACACCTCTATTTCTACTTAGCAAAATTAACTTTAGGTAAAGTGCTTTGTTTAGAGTACTCAGTAAAGTAACTCCTTCATAAAAGTTATCTTTTGGCATCAATGAGGAAAAGGTGAGTTTTCTCTGGCTTCCATTTGGGATGTGAAAGGGCCTCACATGAGCCAACTGCCCCTCTTTTTAGCCTCCCCCAAGTCCTCACTCACACGGAAGCACACAGAAGCATGCCTTGGGACTCGACTCCTCTCATCTTCTGGGGTTTCAGATTGCACAGCACCACCACCAGTCTGTCCTGCAGCTCCTCTCTGGGCACAAACTGCACCAGGCCACTCACCACAGTCCGTGGCTCGGCTTCCCCCACATCAATCTTCTCCACATACAGGCTGTCTGCATCTGGGTGCTGTCAGCAAGAGATGACAGGTGGGAGAGTTTCCAGGTGGGTCAATTGAGGGCTGGTTTAACTTAGTCTCCAGAAAGGGAATCCTCTAGGGCAGTGATGGCGAACCCGTGAGACCTTTCAATGATAACAAACAGTGGACGGTGGCATGTATACCATTGGTTGACCACCACTGCTCTGGGGTAACTATTTCCAAGTCCCAGACAGAAGACAGCAGAACAGGCCTTGAAGGTACATTCTGCTTCTAGCCAAGACCACATTTGAAGAAATGAACTAATTGTTTATGTGGAAGACTCTCTAACACAGACTAAATGGCTTGGACTGTTGGTGGCTATCGTTAACTGTTTGCATGCTGCACCAGTCTGTCCCAAGGGACTGAGAGGTGGGGAGAATGAGGGTTGGTCTCACCATCTGAGACAGGAGCACCAGCAGCCATTTCAAGGTAGTCTGGGCAGCTGGGTCTACAGAGTAAAAAGTAAATCAATGCTGTGGGAAAAAAAGCACAAAACAATGTGCCCAGCCACTGGTTCCATGACCTGTCTCAGAAAAAGAAAGGTTCTTCTCTACCCACCAAGGTCTAAAGGGCAAAGTAGATGATCCAAGATATGCCTCACAGCTGGACCAATCAGGCCAAACTTAATGGATACACAAGTTTCCTCTGATTAACATCTGCCCCTGGCTGCCCCCACTCTCAGTTTCTGGCTATGTTTGACTACATAAGGTCCAGAAGCAGTGATGGCTACATGAAGCCTGATGGCTGGAATTAGACGGCTGCGTTCTGACTTGCAATATGACCACAGGATGTTACTTTCCCTCTCTAGACCAGGATTCCTCCAAATACAAACTGACTCCTATCTGTCTCTAAGATGTGGTAAAATTGGTGGTACCTTTTCCACACCGATGATTTTCCCGACTCGGATATCCAGCCGGGATGGAATGACTTCCTCTGGTTCTGAATTCTTGGCAGGGCCTTTGGCAGTGGGCTCTGGGAATGAGAAGAACCCCATGGGGTCAGGCTCCCCTCCTCCCCATGGCAGGTCAGCTGCTGATCCCACCAAGATGAGGACACTGAGATTAGGCAGGATTTAGTAGAGAATCCCCAGAACCTACCCAGACTTACACATCTTTAAAAACAGGATCAGCAATCTTTCAGACATGATGTATCAGACTTTCTTTTTTTTCAAGACAGGTTCTTTCTATGTAGCCCAGGCTG